TATTTAAAAATACAAGAATATTTACACCAGTATTCTCAAAGACTGCAGAAATTGTGTGTTCTCTCAATTTGTAAAATCTGTGCTTGGACTCATGCATAAAGAAAAAAAAAAAAAAAAAAAACCCAAAACCCAATCCATACATCTTCTCTGGTATAGTTTGCATTCATGTTAGTGACCAATCTCTTATTACATTAAAATCACATGCAGAAATTTTATTTATCATAAACGTATATGAGATAGTTTCATACTGGACTGAAGATCTAAAACTTAGAGATTCATGCAATACTGAATCTTTGTAATTGTACTAGTTTTGACAAAAGGGAAAAAATTAGTCAATGATGATAGCCTCAATCACTAGAAGTTCTTTTAAAAGGTAGTATAGACTGCTCAATTTCTTATGTAATGTCACCTAAATTAAACATTTATTTCATTTTATTAAACAACCCATACTACGTACAGCCATTTGCAACTGAGTAAAATTTCTTTATTAAATATTAATTTCCATTTTCTCCATCCACTTTTATTTTGAAGAGAAATAAAGTACAGTACTTTTCATTTGTAATTTAATTGGTCTTGAAAATGAAAGACTGTGTAATTGGGAAAAGTTCAAAATTAATTTCTATAATACATTCCAACCCATAATTATTTGAAATATCTTAAGCAAGCATGTTTTAAGTTTAGGGTTATTATATTCTCATTACCAATATGTCAGTGTGAGGACCACAGATGCTTCATTTCTTATGCTCTAATGTTAGACATTTGAATAAATATTCAAAAATTAAAATAAATTTTCCAACTTTATGTTCAAGCCTCATATTTTAACAGTGCTAGCTTTTGAACTACAGTTCTCGTAAGTTAATACCCTATTTACAAAAAGTATTTGAACCTTCATTCTCATTCTCTGAAGCTCCAGCTGCCCTGTCCATGTGTCCTCACCTGTCCCCTAAAGGTCCATGACCCAGGGATGGGCAGTGCTGGGTGGACCGCACCCAGGCCGTCTCCTTGCCATTGCTTGGAGAACACGCTGGAAACCTGAGCACTTGGGAGTGATTGCAGTACAAATGCAGTGAAAAACCACACGATGTCTAGATACTTACTTAAAATGTGGGCTGTTTGCACTACATTAGCTGCAGATGAATTTTCTGAGCCATAAGAATATTACATTCTAATCTTGGTCATGCTGCATGTCATTGAAACTCTTAAAAGGGTTGCACTCCTATCTTGATGATTTGAATACATATTGGAACATGGATAGCTGAGAAATGAACCATGTTTTCTTGTTTAGACAAACACAAGTTTTCCCATTTCCAGACTCTGTCCAGATATGGCAGAACATATACCAACTATGAGGACTTTTTATAATCGGAAATAAAAAGTCGGAGCAAAATCTTAAACATGTAGTAAATCAAACCAGCTGTAGAAAGATTTTGCTAAGATATGAAGACAGTAATGCAAAGGAATAATTAGTTCCATTGTTTGAATAATAGTTAAAATTTTGACATTTAAATAATACCAAGATTCAAGGATAACATAAACTCCCTCAAGAAAAAAATTAAAGCAAGGTTTTAATACATTTAACTGCAACATGCTTTATTTTATTCCTTATAATAAAATTATGTCTAATCAGAGTATCCTACAGCTCTGTACTTCCGTGCCTTTCTTAGCAAATTAAGAATACTATTTTCAAAATGGTTTTATTGTATGTGACTTTTTTAAAATGAAAAAGGATGAATTTTTGAATAATAACTAATATATTTATTATAATTTAATTAACATATCTTCAGTGATTACTAAAATTAAGCCTTTGCAACCCCAAAATTTGGTTTGTTTCACTATGTTTCTTCAAATTGGTTCAACGTTTTCATTAAATTTTGTATAGAATGAAATAACCCCTTACATGCCAAAATCACTTACGTTTTTCCTAAGTTAATTTTCCCCCTTTATTCTGTTTGTGATATATTGCCATTCCAATATGCATTTGCTTAGGAATACACTATTTCTATCATCATGGTAATCTCCTGGCCTCCAATAAGTACTTTAGGGTCCTGTGTTCAATGTTAAGCATTAGCATTATCAATTAACGTCTAGTAGAAAAATGCTGCTTTTCTTTTCTTGGCAATATGCTAAAGCTCATGATAACTGTGCTTTCCTTTCTACTTCAAATTAGAAAAAAATTATTTTTCTTGCCGCTATTTCCATGTGTGTGCTTATTTGTATGAGGGACAGAGACAGAGGCAGAGGCAGGACATAAAACTCACTGTAAACAGCATCAGACACAGAGTACATTCATGAACATGTGATCAAGAACTGTGTTGAAATGTGTACAAATACTACATATTTTAAAGAAGACTCTTATATAGTAAAGGCTACATTTTTAAATAGTCATCTCCTTTGTAGTTTTAGCCATTGTGCCCAAATCATTTTTGCTTGAGAGTTCTTTTCCCAGTACCGTTTTGTAACAGAATTTCACCTTACCTGAGAATTTCTGCCTTTCTCTCTGGACTGACCTTCATACCCTCTCAGATTAATCTTTCTATAATTCTGCACTTATGTTAGTGTCTGCTGTTTTAAACCTGCTCTCTGCCTTTTTTTCACCTTCAGGCCAAATCAGGAATCTTTAAAAAAAAAAAGAAACAAAACAAAACAAACCTTAATTAATGGCACAGTATCCCGGCTTTACTGGCTGTCGAATAAATTCCCTGAGAACTTAGTGTGTGAATAGACATGTATTGTATTCACCAGTCCCATGGGTTAGGAGTTTGAACAAGATATGGGAGGACTTTTGTCTTTGGTCCACAGTGCCTGAGGTCTCAGGCATATAACCTGTGTTATGGAGTCACGTGTCACCGAAAACTGCTCCAGTCCAAAATCAGGGAGCCTTCTGGTGCTGGCTGGGGCCTTGGTTCCCCTTCTCAGTACCTGTCCACCAGGGCCTCTTCATGAGGCCTCTGCATAGATGAGTTTGAGCTTTCTAGTGGCCCAGGGCTGAGTCTTCCGAGGTGTTTTTCCCACAGAGAAAGCCACATGGAAGCTACATCCCCTTCTGTGATCTAGCCCAGAGCCACATAATAGTGCTTCCACTACACTCTACTGGTTGGAGTAGTTACGCCTACACAGCGTCATGGGGGAGAACATGTGGAAGCTACTTCTTGATTTACTCAGGTCAGACCTGGAAGAGCTTGTGTGCTGGGAATATTACTGTGGCCATTAAAAAATAAATAAATAAAAACTATGTCATTCTGCGACCACAGACCTCGGTTTGTAGCACCATTTCTTCTTTTAAACTTTCATGGACTTGTAAGTCACACCAGCCTCTCCCTACTTTGCACGCTGAAAATCTTGTTCTCTCCTTTATGATCTGTATATGCCTTGAGTTATTAACTCTTCGTGTGTACCAGCTATGCTGCACATTACCTCAGTTTCCTACAGAAAATACAATCGCTTTTCTTTAAATTTCCCACAGGATCTAGAATAGTACATAGTTAACATCATCTGGAGTAAAATCTGATGAGAGACTTGGCCGTTACTCATCATAAATGGTTACATAGAGTCTTCATAAAGGATGTGGTAGTGGAGGGGGTGAATAAGCTCCCTTAGAAATAAGTAAGAAACTCAAGCACAAGTAATTGTATTTGGATTTGATATGGCAATTGATATAGCACAATGGCCATCAGAGATACTGTTTTGTATCTTAGATTGAATTTTAAATTTAAAATATATTTGAAATTCATTTAATCCACAATATATTCATTCAAAATACTGAATTTTTGTCTATTGGCTTTTATCTGATTGTTGAAAAGGCTGAACACTGAGTGAACACTGTAATATTTTACATTTTTAAAGTGTGTGTGTGTGTGTGTGTGTGTGTGTGTAACGAAAACAATTATATGTACTTTGGTTAATTCTCTGTAGTTGAAAATAATGCCTTATCATTATAACAAGCCAAACATATTAACTCCTTTCCATTGCTGGAACAAAATATCTGACACCTGCACCTTGCTGGGGAGTGGCTTCTGATTTCAGTCCATGGTCGGCTGTTCAGTGCAAAAACAGTACAGCAGAGAGACTGGGGAAGGATGTACTCAGCCCTCAGCAGCCAGGATGCAAGGAGGAGTGGGCATGCCAGGGACAAGAACAAGGCCCCAGTGACCACTCCCCCAAGGCCCACCTCCGCGGTGTGTTCAGCTACTGCCCTCACCCATTATAAACCCAAGTATGAGTACAGCACCTCAAATCCACCCACCTGCCAAACACATGTGACTTTCGGGAACATTTTGTATCCAAACGGTAACATCTACTCCATAAACAGCTGTCTTTTATCCTCATATTGAGGTTACCGATTTGGGTCTGGTGTATGTTTACACAGCGTACTCCATGCTCATTGTGTGTATTTGTATATTATTCCTTACATGCATATATGCACATGCCATAACTTATCATTCTTAAATATACTGGCATATTATGTTAATTATAATTTTTCTGTGTGCTGATTATGCGATCTGATTCTCAGTTATTGTTTTAAGAGCATAATTTACAGGCTGTGCATTTGATATTTTATTTCACAGTTGATTTTTAAAACTAGCTTCTGAAAATAAAGTTTTGACAATGTGAGATAACTTCGGCGCTAAGCAATTTGTCTACTATATTTAATTCTGCATTTATGAGAACAGAGACTAACCTAAGATCAGACTAACTGAAATAACTCTGCTATCCAAATAACATGCAGTCTCAGCATTGTTAATTATTCTAATGGAAACATGTACTTATCTTTTACTAGCCATTAAAGGGATACACTGAAAATATTTACAAGTATGATTTTTATGTGGAGGATAAAAACAGCATGTTGTCTTGTGACACTGGGAACTGGCATAGCTTCGTCATTTTAAACACTGATTCGTAGTACATGTTTGCATATGTAACTAAAAATCAACTGAAAATCAAATAATATGTTTGACAGAGCATTCAGTTCCATTTTCACATGTAACTATGATGTATTTTAGATGTTTGATCATGCTGAAGTGATGAAAGGTATCCGGCAGTATCCTGGCATTCGATACCCTGTTCTTACTCCGAACCTTCAGGGTTTTCACCGTGCCGTAAGTGTGCTCCTACTTTCTCTAAGATTGGTATGCCTCTTACTGTCATAAAGACCTTAGAAAGTTAAAATGGTATCATGTTTAATTTGTGTCTCACCCTATCTGAATACTGTAATTACACCAACCTGGGTGCACATGACGAGAACCCTCGGCGTTGCTGAAGACTGACGGGCTCCACAAAAATCACCCTTTCTGTTTAACCAGTCCACCATCAAAACATAGAAGCACAACTCTCTATTTTGATGAAAATTTTTGAAAGCATATTTTGTGCATCCCTCTTAAGTAATATAGAGTACAATTTTAATGTTGTTCAATGCAGTAATGTGATCACCGATATTGAAATCAATAAACACTGTCATTTTTTGCCTGTTTTTTGTTTTCCTTTTTCCTATCTTTAGGTGAAGTTAATTTTTGTTATCATATATGCCTCTAACAGCTTTTTCTAGTTTCTTTCTTCTGAGCCTGTATGATTTAAAGATTTATATGATATTAATAAAGGCTTTAATGATTACACATGCAGGAAAAATAAAATTCTAAGTAAAATCTTACACTTACGTGCATTTCTGGCAAAAGGTTTTTAGCAGCTATTAGCGTCAATATTTTTTTCACTTCTCTATTTAGAATTTATTACATAAAGTTGAGATTGTAGGATGTTATTTGGATTATTTGTTAGTGTATATGTTATTAGAATGATTTAGTTTTGCTCAATTCAGTGTAATTTTATTGTTATAGAGAGATGGATTTTAAGAACATTTAACTATTGCTATTATCCAGTTCTAACCCAGTAGATGTCTGCATGTTTACGAAGATACCGAGAGAACCTTTGTGTGATAGTTTAGAAAAGCAAGCAGTAGTGTGGAGCAAATGTTGGCTCAAAACACAACACCATAACTACAATTAACTGTCCAAAAGTGTAGAAACTAGTTAGCTTGGTAGTGCTATAATGTGCTCATCTATACAATGGCATCATGGAAAAACTTAATTTTAAGGTTGTTTTTGGATTGCAAAAATGACATGTAAAATACTAATAAGAGTACTGACAATTAGTAGAAGAAGCAGAATTTTATTTTAAAAGTGCAAAATTTATTTTGAATAGAGACATAGAAACCAATTTTGTTTTTAAATGCTGTTGGAAAGATGATAGAATATTTTTTTCTTATATTATTATAATTATTTTTTATATATTTCCTAGATCCCTGTCAGTAGCAAGTCACTGACAGGGATCTAGGAAATGCAGGCAGAGTGCTAGTGATAATTAACAGTTTTTAAAAATTCAGCTGAACAAAAAGTACCAATCTGATCTGGAGAATCACAGGCTGTGATGATAGCTATCGAGATAAATGCATTTGGCTGCCTGGGGTGCTTTGGTGTTTCACTAACATTGCAGGGCTAGGGCCAGTGGTCTGATCATCTGTTCAGAAGATAGCGGTATGCAGTGTGGCATCCAGGGGGGAATCTCCTTCTAATGTTGTAGCCATTGGTAATTCCCTATTGTCTTGTTTTGAAGTCCTGTATTGTTTGCATTAGTTTTTTTTTTTTTTTTTGAGGGGGGGGTATTTTCTTTTATTTTATTTATGTTAAATCTGATGGAGGAAAAGCTGTTTCAAAGGTAGCAAGACATATTTTGGTAGTCATTTTGGATTTAATATTGTTTTGTTTTCAAGTCCTTTATTGCATTCATTGGTTTGTTTTTTCATGTCTATTCTGTTCTGTTTGATTTTTACTATGACTGAAGGTATCAGCAGCTATTTTGAAGACAACAAGAGGCATTATGGTAACTATTGTTGATTTTGTATTGTTTTGAAGTCCTATATCACTTACAACTGGTTTATTTTGATTGGCTTTATCCTGTTTTATTTTCCTTGATTTTATCCTCTTTAAAATTAAAAAAAAAAAAAAATCAGCCAAAAATCTAGGAGATTTGGCCATGGAAAACAATTCACCAGAGAAGCCTGCGGGAAGACAAAGAAGGCAAATTGGAAAATCAATTAGATTCGTAATTTGGATTTGAAGACTGGCAGGAGCACAAAAGCCTTAGGCACACAAGAGTCCCGCTGAGGCTGCTCCGCTATGAGACAACAGGAGACAGGCGCAGAGATAGGAGGAAAGTGTTATGCAGAATCTAAATGATGAATTGGAAAATCATATTTCTGTTGGATTGTAGGAAAAGAAGAAAAACAAAGTTTTACTAACCTGTATTTTAATAAATGGTTGGAAAACAATGTTTTGCTATGAAAATAAAGATTGCATTAGGGTACAAGTATTTTCTATAACTAGGGTTAAAGTATGTAGGATAGTAATAAGTTAAAACTCCAAATTGAATTGTAACTTTATCACTGTATTTTCTATGCCTCATATGAATGTTATAGTTTGTGGAGTTATTGTTAATACAGTTTTTTTCCCTTTTGAAAGTGTTTATGTGGCAAGATGAGAAGGTTATAATTTTAAATTTTAGGCAAATGCAGCCAGGTGTGGTGGCACACGCCTGCAATCCTAGCAGTTGGCAGGCCAAGGAAGGAGGATCGCTGCGAGTTCAAGGCCTGCCTTGGCTGCATAGTGAGTTCAAAGCCAAGTGAATCCAATGAGACCCTGTTCCAAAAAAAAAAAAAAAAAAAAAACAAAAAAAAAAAAACAAAACAAAACTAAAGAATGTAAGCTTGCCTTTGTTGCATAATCTACTGTAATTTACACTTGAAAATTTTAGCATTTGGTTTTAAATTTTACTTTTCAGGTTGCTGCTGGAGCCACTGAAATATCAGTCTTTGGGGCTGCCTCTGAATCCTTTAGCAAGAAGAACATTAACTGTTCCATTGAAGAAAGCATGGGAAAATTCGAAGAGGTCATTAAGTCTGCAGCCCAAATGAACATTCCAGCACGAGGGTACTTAGGAAGTCTCACACATTCTCTGCTATTAACATTTTTTATTAAAGCTTATTTAAGAAATATCCTTGTTCCTTCTACCATTCTTAAAAAATACATATATAGCATCCCCTATGTACCTTATTTAATAAGGAAAAATGACTGTATGAGGTGTGATCAAAAGTACGGTGACGACTCCTGCCTATAGCCATTCATTTAGGACATCCTTTAGGACACAGTCTTCAACCGGGGAAGTTGAAACTTTAGTAACGGTGTGTGACATTGCAACTGGTTTGGCACAGTCGGCTGTGAGCTATAGTAAAAGAAAATGTACTTTAAAGTGTGTCATACATCACGGATCTAGGACAACATATTTCACCAGACTTGTGAGATGCTGCTCTGCAGAGTCCAGCATTTTAAGAAATGTCATCCTGGGAGATGAACCTCAAGATGATGGTTATGATCCTAACACCAAGGCTCAGGACTCTGAGTGGAAATTACCCCGTAAAACACTGTATCAGTGGAGATCTAGCATCAGGGTGATATTGCTTTTTGACCTCCATGGAATTGTGCTGGCTGAGTTTGAATCCAGGAACTTCAGTGAGCTCTGAAAATTACAAAGTATACTTGAGCTCTTAGGAAATTGTAAAGTGCATAGAAAACGACCTGGCAAAGGGGCAGATGACTGCATCGTCCTCCATGGTGTTGTCACACACCCCCCTTGTATGACAGCATCTGTCACACAAAGCATGTTGGTGTGCCTGAAACCACCTTATTCACTGGATCTGCCACTGTGTGACTTTGACTTCTCACTGTCCCCCGATGGTTATGAGAGGGGTGCACATTGAAACTGTGCAAATTCAGGACTTTGAGGCAGCAACCACAGTACAATTAAAGGCACGAAATGTACTCCCAGAACCGCTTCAGACAGTGCCAAGAGGGACGGGATAAGTGTGCTTGAAGTAAAAGAAAGGATTCTAAGAGGGATGATGACACTGTTTTTAGCAAAATTTTTAAAAATTAAATATTCACTGTATGTTTTGATCACACCTCAAATAGTGATCTTTCCTTAATGCTATTAATAATTATTAGCCTAGGATTTTGTGCTAGGATTGAGATCCAAGGGGTTATTAATGGTTACAAATCTGGAAGTAAATTGGTAATACTCAGGCCTCTACATGCAATTATCTTTTGGTCACAGCCTTGTATACACTGATAAATTGATTTTGGAAAGTCATAATAACTTTTAGAAAGGAATAAATTCATGTGCTTTCTAAATCTATTTTAAAATATATATTTTTTAAAAAAGCACTACTTTTCTTTTTTTTTTTGTTTGTTTGTTTTTTGTCTTTTTCCTTTTTATTGGTACCAGGGATCGAACTCACGACTGCCTGCTTGCTAAGAAGGCGCTTATGCCGCTGAGCTAAACCCCCAGCCCCTAAAAAAGCACTACTTTTCTTCAGAATGGAGATTGAGCCTGTGAGCTGCACTGGGAAGTCTGGTTCAACCTCGAACCCAGCCAACCTCCCGGCCCACTGCTGACTCCCCTTCTCTTTCCAGCCAACACCAAAGCACCTTTGCAGCAACTCACAGGACGCTGTTCAGAAAGTACTTGGGAAATTGCATGCAGAAATCAAACGCTAGCAATTTCAGCTCTCTTCTATTCTACTTTCTACTGTGCGTCATGTATTTCTGCAAGTGCAGGTGTATCCAGGACACTTCCCTGGAATTTCCCTGGAGGAGCTGCATGACTCATGATCTGAGCTGTCTGCTTTCCTCTCCTCCACAATACACTGATTACAGTCAGATGAGGAAACCTGACGCAAACTTCAAAACTCAGTTTTCTCTCTCTCTGCTTTAGAAATGAATACAAATCACAGTTACTCGATTTGAAAGATTATATAATTTTGAGACTGATTTCATTATTTGAGAGATCCTAAGATAGAGCCACCTATAAATCAATGATAAGACAGAGGGTTAGAAAACAGAAGTGGGAAAAGAAAGAGGCTCTTCGAAGCGATGAGATAGATGAGAAGGGAGAAGAGAGAAAAAGTCCCCTGGTTCATGCCCACTTCCTGGACCAAGTATTTAGCTGTGCTATGAGCAGGGCTTTTGGCTGTGAAATGTGCATTCCTTGTTATTGAAGAGGGAGAGAGACATTAACTATTATTCTATAAATATGAAGATAGGATAGACATGCCATATTATCTCAAGTACGTAGTATTTGCAAGAGAAAGCTGAGTGCTAAAATTGATTTAGGTCTCCCTTGTATCTCTTCTGGTTGCGGTGAGCCAAGTGCACATGGGAGGAACGGTAGTTAATTAGAAGCACAAATAAATCAGCTTTGAGTGAAAATATTAGAAAAGCACTGGACCAGAGTCAAGGTCATGTGGAGAGCAAGAAGAGTTAGACTGTACCACAGTGAACTACATTATTGCTTTTTTTTCCTTTTTAAACTGCTTTTCCCTTTCCCCATCATAAGTCTCCAAAATGAGTTTTGAAATTACTTTGTAAGTAAAATAGATAAATATCATGGAGATCTTTCAAGAGAAATTTAAAAGCTGAAATAATGTATTTTGAAAAGCACAAAATAAAGAATGATTTCTAAAATCATTTTAAGGCAAAATACACATAATGACAATAAAAAATGCAAATATAAATTTTAAATTCAAATATGAGTAATTTGCTTTGTCTCTCTTTTAAAGCAAATAGAAAAAAATGAAGAGCCCATTTTATTTTAGTATGTATTTGAAATATGAAATCTAAACTTTAGTAAAGGAAGACTCCAAGGAAAGCTGAAAAAAAAAAAAAAACATAACCTACAATATTTGTGTGGACTTTCTAATGTTGAAAGACGAAAACATCAATTGTATAAAATTAGTCCTTATTATCTTAGCTTTCTTTCACCAAAAAGAAAACATGAAGTTGAGCAAATCAAACATGAAGTTGAGCAAATCAAAATCTGAAATTCCCTTCAAATTCACTGTCTGAACATTAGTATTATTCCATCATTAAATAAACACTTATTTCTCAGGCTTTGGTATGAAAGCTACAAAAGTACATGGTGGAATAGAATTTATTCACATTTGTGTTTATTTACAAATCAGTAAAGCATATTGGAGAATTATTATATACACAGATATGATTTTTGTACAGATTTTATTCCATTTAAAATCAATGTCTGAATTTTTTGGAAGAATATTCATTTTAAGAAATGTAACAGTTCAGTATATGAACTCATCAGCTATTTGTGCACCTGAAATTATAGTATCTTTCTCCTCACCCAAATTTTTGAAGAGTTTCAATAAGATTTTACTTTTCTAAGAAACCTAGAGATAGGTGCTTGATATTATGGATCTTAAGCCATGGGTGCCTACTTTGGGACCTCAAGCCATAGCACTGAAGCTTCAGCATGATCTAAAGTGCAACAGTGCACAGTCATTGTCCAGAATACTTATGTCATCAGCGATTAGATTTAAAAACCATAAAGCGATGTACAGTTTATACATGCTCACTAAACCCATTTAAAATTCTGCAAAAATGATGACTTTTACATGTACTGAATTTTCTTTAGAATTATGAAGGCTATTGCTCAATTGTTCCTCAAAACACATGTATTACGTACAGATGTCCATGATTTTGTACAGGCTTAGAACTTTCTATAACATCTGATGCACAGTCTGAAATGGTAACGTGCCACATCAGTGAAGGGCAGTCCGGAATCAGCCAGCTGTGCTCTGTGTATGGGTACGTGCATGAACAGTGAAATACATGCATATTGCACTTAATTCTTTTTACTTTTTTTGATGTAAGTCATTTGTCATATTTTTTAAAAACCTAGGTTACTTTATTATTTGTCTAAATCTAAAAACAGAAAACAAAGAATAAAATTATTTTCCCCTTTTTTAAAAAGGAGAAATATTGAAAGAAGTAACTGTAGGTTTGTCAGGAACCTTTTAAATTATAGTATCTGAAGGTGAGAAATAGCACTCTGTTATATCCTCTGAGAGATTTAGGATTTATTGCTTTTTGTCTAAAGTAAATGGCAGCTTCTCTATAATAAAGTCACATGAACAGTACACACACTCTTTGTGACACTGTTAGCTTAAGAAAGAAATGATTATTGAGGTGCCATAGTTTCACTGTTTAAATTCTTATAAAGCAAATCATAAAGTAACAAAGTGAACAGCTTTGCATGTCAAAGCACAAGCCATGCAAATGGTCTTATAAAATGATTTGAAGATGAGTAATGATTACTTTGGGAGTGTCTGACCCCACTGAAAGCTCAGTGAATGGATTTTCATAGGCATCCTCTGAGCCAAACAAAGCCTTTCATTGATTGTTTAAAAAGTTGTAAAATGAAGTGTGGTACTTTTGGGCTGTATCTGGTACACTTCGTCTGCAGTTCCCAAAAAGAAATAAAAATGGAAAAGGTTGCAATGAGAGCAAGGAGCAAATGCAGATTAACGATTAAGTTGCTACAGATACTCTCAGATTTCTTTTTGAGAAACATTGTAGGATATGCTATTTTACTTTAGTCATAAATTGTTTATAAAAATTAATATTCGTATTTAAAAGGAGATGCAAGTCAATTTTCCTAGATCCTTAGTGAACCTGGAGTACTCATTTTATCCATACCTTTATCTGGTATCACCTATAATCAAGTTTCAAAAGAGATGGCACCCCACATGTTAGCTAGCAGTTTCTCCAGTAAAAGGCCTTCCATGTCAGAAAGTCCTCATGCTTGGTTATGCTTTAATCAGTAGCCCGGCTCTACATAACAGCTTTTCAAAGGCAGCCTCCCGACGCACTGTGGAGTGAGGTCAGTGTCTCTTCCCTGGAAATGGTCCTCAGTATTTGTCTCAACACAGTTATTTAAAGCCTGCAACCTGCTTTCTGTGTTTGTCAAGCCATCCAGGTCAGCTCACACTGTCCGCATGTCCTACCTGCAGTCTATGGATTCTGAGCAGAGTAGTTTGGAGACATCTCACAGCACAGCCTCCTTGTCATGGCATTCAAGGGCTCTTTTGATGTAAAACTCTTTCCTCCCATGCCCAAATAACTGGTCTCCACCTCTCCTTCCCATAGTATGTGGCTTGCTTCATTCATGACCACCAGATGCTTTATTTCAAAACTAGCATTGTAAAAATCTTAAGTTTAAAGAAATAGGGTTGGTGATGAGCTGAAAATAGCTAAAACAGGCTTGTCCTAAAGCTTAACAGCTTAAAATGGAAAGGGATCACTGTCTGTACAGAAAAGGCTAGACTTCCTATGAGCGTGAGCTGCTGAGGAAGCCAGCGGTATCTTTACTTGGAACCTTTTAAATGCATTAGACACTCTTCCTTTGGAATGATTTAAGTAAACACATGAGAGGAAAACAGGGTGGACTCAAGCGCTGTTCAGTTCTAGGCGTTCGGGGGTGATTAATGACTCTACCTAAATGAGACTGAAGCATCCAGATGGAAACAGAAATTGAGCTAGTTTTTTTTTTTTCTTTTAAACATGATTTTATGTATAATCTTAAAGTCTTTTACATTTAACAGTTGAATGTATAGCATTATTTAAATAAAACTCTGTGCATGCTTCTATAAACAACCTCACAAGAAAAATACCTTTCACTTTGTCTCCACTTGTCATCAAATAACATATATCAAATTATAGTTATTAGAAAAACGAGAAGGAAAATCAATTCAAAATTTACCTATATTGTTTTTGTTTTATCTAAGGATAAAATAATAATGAATAATTACAACAGTGTAAAATATGTTTTATTGATGCATTTGATTTCTTCATTTTCATAAACTGAAAATTAAGAGTGACTTATCTACCAAAAAGTTTATATCTTTCTGTATTTTAAAATTTAGGTATGTGTCCTGTGCCCTGGGCTGTCCATATGAGGGAAGCATTACACCACAAAAAGTGGCGGAAGTAAGATACACACACCTCCAGCCTTTTTGGTTAATGGTAAAATAATGCATGTTATCTTTAAAAGCATTTTCTTTCTACTCACTGGTTCTACATAGCAAACTAAATAGATCTGTGGAACGGGTAGCTATACCCACAGACAAATTTGATCATTTAATGCTTTATTTTGTCACCAAGCTCTTCTGAATGACCTGCAAATTTTCAAAGTCACAGTTGGTTCTTCCTATCTGTGTTTTTAAGCTTTGGAAAGAATAAAAGGCCTTGTTTTATGTGGTTATAGCACAGTGCGTGGCTTTTTCCGCATTCTATCAGACAGCCTGCAGTTTGTTGCACATGTGTGGGCTTTGCTTGGGAGCGGTTCTGGTTTTGCTCCCTCACAGTGTGGACTCTGATCTATGTGCCTGCCAGAGTGTGGAGAACAGAACCAAAACTGCTCCTCAAGCACCCAAGGTGAAGACGAAGTATGTGCTGCAAACTGCCCCGGCGTCTCTTGGAAAGTGAAAAAGTCACTCACTGTGTGATAGCTACATTACAGGTCGGGGCTAGAAGTTTAGGGCCAACCCTAAACCATCACTTCCAAAGCCATTTTGACTTGTGCGCTTGTTTGAGCTTTGGAAATTTACTGCAGATTTTCCTCTGGGAGCTACACCATCCTCTCCTTCCCCCAGTGCCTTTGCCCACAGATTTGGCTGCGCTGTGCAGTAAAAACACTTACACTAGCCAGAGCTTTCCTTGCGTGGGACCTCTCCAAGACTGGTACTACCCAAATCTATGATCACATATTCTTCTCTTAAAGAACATCTGTAAAAGTGAATAAATTCAGGCCCAACACAACGTAAGTCCACCTCTGCCTAGCCCTGAGTTCCGTGCTCTCTCACCTCTGCACCTGTCTGTCCTCTGGCTGGCCTACACATTCCATCCCGACACACTCCGTACTAACTGGATGCTCTAGAAATTCATGATCTTCAGCCACTGTAAATGGGTCTTTTGTGCTATTGTAGTAGATTTTGTGCTGAATTCACTTTTTTTTTTTTTTTCTGAAATGACTGTTTTGATCAGTCTGTGATTACTGTTTTCAAGCCGGTAGCCTGCTCTTTCTCCCAGTGGTCTTCACTTTCCCTTACATGACTTTTCCTCTACCTGGAACACACTTTGAATTTCCTATTGTGGCAGCCTTTATATTTGGTATTCTCTATGGGACACTTCTCAGACCTTCCCTTCACACTCTGGCGCTCTTCAGTCTCCAGTTGTAGCTTAAGCCCTTAATTTCCATTGCTATCTGCTCATAGAATCCTGTTTCCTTGTTTCAGAATTCTTCTTTGTGGATGTCTCAGTGGGACTGACTAAAACCTGTCCTCCTTTCATGCCGATCTGTCACAGCATGAGATGTGCCCATATTTGTTTTTGTATTGCATCTTAACACTGGCACCACTGGTATAAAAATAGGACCCCTGGAGAAGTATATGTTAAATGAATGAATGAATGCCAGGTTTCATATATAGTGACTTTTTTACATTCTTGTTTCAAATATTCAAGTATGCATGCCATTAACATTCTTTTGATTTTTTTAAAAATGAAGTAATTAAACCTTAAAAAACATGCCAAATGAAGTTAATTCACTGTTCTATAGATTAGACAGTTAAAATAGTAACCTTCTTCCCAGAATCTCATGACGAGCGTAGGTAGAAGCTGCATCTAGGTCTCTTTTGATTGTCAAAATATCGTACAGTGCTCATGCACATTTAGTGCTTAAACTGTTTTTTCTCTTTTATTGGTACTGGGGATCTAACTCATGACCATGTGCTTGCAAGGCAGGTGCTTATGCCACTGCACTAAATCCCCAGCCCCAGTGCTTAAACTTAAAAAGGCCTTGCCCTTTATCTTGCATAGGTGCAACCATCAATGAGTCAGGAAAACTAGGTCAAGAATATTGATGGCGTCTAACAGTTGCAGAAATTTTTAGTGGTAGAGCTCAAACAACTGCTGGTATTGTTTAACCTCTAATCCAAGAGACATAAAACTTCCAAAATAAATCTGTACTGCTTCTGTTTGATGAGCATGTTGAGAGATACAAGCCACCCATATCTGAAATAAAGCTTACAATTTCTCAAGTGAACAGATAGATATTAAATAGACATGATCGAGGAAAACTTGAATATTTAAGGTGAGTTATTTCATTCTACATTTTATACAAGCTTAGGACTTAATGAATGAGAGGAAGGGCTAGAAAATGGGAGTCTATATTTTTGAATCATAAGCTTAATTTGGTTATGGTTTTTACATGTAGATGACATTTGCTGAGGAACAAGAGAATCTGTCTATCCATGCCTACTGTTTTACTAGCACCTGGCCTTTCTCAGCAGGTATCTAAAAGACTGTATGGCATGGGCTGCTATGAGATCTCTCTGGGAGACACGACAGGAGTGGGCACTCCAGGAAGCATGAAGAGAATGCTGGAGTGTGTCATGAAAGAAATCCCGCCAGCTGCGCTCGCGGTTCACTGTCATGACACGTACGGACAAGCCCTGGCCAACATCCTCACAGCCCTGCAGGTATTTCATGTTCTTCGTGTAGTGTGTATCCTTATTTAGCATAAAAGCATGTTTAGTGAGACATATTAATGAAATGTTATGCATATACTATTTAAGCAGTATGTATTCAATATGATACTAAACTTGTCAGGCATTCGGGAAGTTTATTCACAAATTCCACATGTTCTTAGGGTAACAGAAGTCTCTGATTAGTGTTAATTTGACAATAAAAACTGTAATTCTGCTCATTTTAAAGTATTAATCCTGGAAGGGCTATGTCCATTTGGTTCAACCTCTATAGTCTGAGCCCTAAGATTTAATAGACTGCGATAGAATGGAATTTGGAGCAGTGGAACAGTAGAGTACATTGTCTCCATTGTGGCAGGAATGCTGTTTTTGTTAAATTTGTGCTCTATGACAGTTACATATGGAGACAGAATGTAGGCTATGTGGCGTAAAATGTTTTCCTCATGTTGGTGGCTTCCATCCCATTTTTGGCGAACTACAATTTCTGTTCTGATGTTGCAAACACAATTCCTGTTTTGATAACTAAGTAAGTATTATAATGATAAATGAGAGACCATTAAAGTGATAAAAATTACTTACTAAATTGTGGTATTTTAAATGCATTCATATATAAGTGGTTATAAGTAGCATTTTATGTGGCTTTTAAAAATTAATAATGTATTTTTAAACTCAGTTAAAATAGACTCATTTTCAATATCCTTGGAATCCAAGGTGTTTATAGCTAACTGTAAGACTGTCTGAAGGCCTTTGGGTGAGGCTGTGGGTCAGTGTTATAGTTCTACAGCACAGTTCTGCAGCACAGTTGCTTGGCAGATGCAGGGAAGCATGGGAGGGCTGAGCACCATGGAGCTTATTTTGACATTGTAGTCTGTGTGCACGAATCTGAATCTGTGCACAGACTCTTAAAGCAAGCTAGGGACATCCTGTTGAATCCAGAGAGGAGGAGATGTTATCGCATGGTCTTTTGAGCATGAGAAATTTTACGATGTTTTTTCCCTAGCTGTGCTAGTTTCTAAAAAAATAGAAAATGGGTTTCCCCTTGAGAGTCTGAAGGGCAGTTGTAAATTGTAAAATATTGCTGAGCTAGTTCCTGAAGTGGCTCTGGGCTCTCCCTACAAACCCGCTCATTTCTTTGTGTGGATGTAGTGCGTGTAGTTTAAGTGCGTGTAGTTTAAAATTTGAGTAATGTTTCAGTTTTGTATCATACTTGTTATTTAATGACTATAGTTAACTTCTTGGGATAAATGGCAATTGTGCAAAATTTGTAGACTTGGGTTTCTTCTGGGTTCCACGTACCTCTTGAAAATGACCAAGTGTAATACAATGCTGAAACCCTTTTGTGCCTTTCCTGGTGAAGGCAGGGTCACCTGAAGAGGTGCAGACTTGGTCTCCACCTTGATGTTTCAGTTATTGATGTTCTGTGGGTACAACAGTAAACTCACAAGATTAGCATGAAGCTAAAAACTGCTCTCCTCCAGTGCCATAGGTGCTGTTATGTCCCAGTGCAGTCTCCCTTTGTGTTCCTGCTATGGACAAACCCATCACATCACCAGTCACAGGGAAGGACAGCACATGCACTGCTGTGCAGCACACAGCACGCGATGAGCAGTGAATATGTGCTTACCAGATCGTGTGTGGACTGTACTAAACTCTCACTGGTTTTGTTTGGTGGTGCTAGGGATCGATGCCAGGGCTCTCTGTGCTGGGCAGGTGTTCTATCACTGAGGCACATGCCCAGCTGTAGCATTGTGTTCACTATGTTGTTTTTATTTAGTAAGAAACAGTGAACAACATGTATCTCATTCTGCAGGCCGGAACCCATCCTTAAACAATGCTTGAATGGTAATTGAATCGGATCTAAAAATCAGACAGGGCCTTGCCAATGTTCATACAGTAGAAAGAATATTGGGAGCTGGTGAAGCACCATTTGGGCAGAAAGCATCAGGGACAAGAGGATGGTGTCCTAGGAACATAGAAGACTAAAATGCTCAGAGAAAAATTAAATCTCTGCCATGTGCTGGGGAGGTGAAGGGCATTCATTCACTGACGGGGAGCTCAGGGCTGGCGCACTGCTTGAGCAGCATGAGCAGCTGCACAGAGGACAGGAAGCAATGCTGGGCCCAAGTAAGAAGGGTGAGATCTGCCCACGTCACCACTCCCTCGGTGGGAGGGGAACCAGCAGACGTCTCCCTGCTGTGGGAAGAGGAAGGTGTTCTTAGTTCTCATGGCCTTACCTGGGACTGGAGAAGTATGCCTTCTTTTACACTTCCTAACTTTCCGTAGGCCCTCATGTGACTTTAAGGTTCAGATGCACATTGCACTACAGAATTGGAAAGACCTGAGCAGATAAGTTATTTCCAAAGAATTGAGGGCCAGTAGCTCCTTCAGGTGACAAGAATATGTATTCTTTTTGAAAGAGGGCATCTTCAATGTGAGTGCATGCGTCTACTTGTGCACACATGCACACATATGTGTATGTGTATGTCCCAGTTGCTAGACTGCATCTGTGACTGTGTGTTTGGATGTGATCTCTGTATGTACAAGCCGCGTGTATTTATGGCAGGCAGGATTCTCCTCAGGGAGCGAGAGTTCCTTCCAGCTCTGGGCCACCTTGGCTGGGGCTTTCTTCCCAGTCCAGTGCATACACTGAATAACGAAGGGCAGCGGTTTGTGTAGTAAGTGATGGAATGGAGTCCAGAGGGACTGCTGGAAGGGGACAGTTGAGAAAATGGTCAAAAAACAGAGATGAGCAAGGGAACGTGAAAGTGGAAAAGTTGTGGCATTTGTGTCACTGCCATTCACCTTCATGTATTTCAATAAGATGTGGAAATTTGGGGGAAAATGGTCATTACCACTTTCTTGAGCCTGTCTGTAACTGATAGGAACTTTAACTGCTTGGGAACCTTATGGTCACTGTGGACAGGAGGATGTGATGTTTAATGTCACAGCAAATATAGCAGCACCGAGTGAGGGGTCCAGCAGAGTCCTGTACTCATCGCCTGTCTCCTCTCTAATAATAGTAGCAGCCACAATAAAGCAAGCAGTTTTAACTTTAGAGGAGGAGAAAAAATGTTTTGGAAAAAATCCTTTGTGTGTTTGTAGAGGGGAAATCGGAGAAGTCCAGCTTTGCTATGAGCAGGGCTGACCTTGGTTTCTGGAAGCAGTGGTCATTCTTCATTTTTTAAAGTGGAGTCTTTGAAGTGGCATCTAGTAAAATTGGTAGTAGAGTTGAGTGGGTATCATTTGCTTTAATTTAGGGATGGAGAGAGAGCTTGCAGTGCTCCAAACTGCAAGTTAATATTAAGGCAAGGAGACATGTAATAAGTGGAAACTTGGCCTCCATGGTAGGAAACAAATGAATATTATAAATGGAACATCCACACTGGAAAGCGCATACTAACCCTGCAGTAGAGGATCTTTTTTGGGTTCCTACGCTTTATTATGTTTTTTTATTACTTAAACATATGCTCTCCAGGTTTAGAAATGGCTGCATGGAAGTCCAGAACCCATAATTACCAGACATTATTTTAATATAGATATTTTATTTTGAGAGTGTAGATTTCAGTGGAGGATATTTTTAACCATTCGGAAGCAAAAGAACAAGAAAATGAGGTGACAAAAGTACAACATTTTGGTAACGGAAGACAGTTATGTGACCAAATATACTTGTCTTGATTTTTTTTTAACGTGAAAGTTGGGTTTCACTCTCCTACATATTCCCCAAGTACCTAAGGAAAACACTAGCTAACAAATTATTTAATCTACTTAATACCAGACAATTGCTCATTTTCTTCCACTAAAATGATTTGAGTCTTCATAATTTGGTAAAAGCAGAATAAAGCTAATGAGATCCAATACCTCAAGTAACAGCCACTCATTAATTGGTAGCAGAGAGACAAAACAGAGCAAGCAGTATTTATATTTCTCATGAAGAAATTCTATGTGCCTTTTTTTCCCTTCAGCTTAATAGACTTTTAGCTAATGTGCCTTTCTTTGTAATGTTTTCCACATGTTTATTATTCTCTTTTGGAAAGACCAAATTATTAACCTAATTTTTACATCAAAAGCATTCATTTTTTAAATAAACCCTTACTAAACCATGTTAAAAATTGCCAACCAACCAAGCTGGACTTCTCCAAGCAAACAACAAATCTTTCATCTTGCAGTTTGTTTATGCATTTGTTAAAGAGATTAAAAATGAATCCCATTGCTGATCAGATAAACCTGTTTCTCAGTTCTATATTTAGTTACAAAGATGTATTTATGTCTGCTTCTCAGGATCATGCAAAACTGAGATGAGGCACAGAATTTCCATAATAAGGGCATGAGGAGAGTACACTTGTTTAATGCTGTTGTGCTGTCTGTATAGTTGTTATCCAGGCTACCTAGAGAATTTTGTTACAAATGTGTTTTATGAATATTGTGTTTAATAGAATTCATTTCTTTAGCACCTGTTAAATAACTATATCAAAAATTAAAGGAACAATCTGAAAACTTTGTTCTTACTGAGGTTTTATAAAATGCATTGTTAGTTGAATGGAGATTTTTATCAGATCCTGTTGTAGATGTGAGATTATTATTGCAAGGAAAACCTATTTTAATTTAAACAGATTTTTAAGATCTTTCTGATTTTGATGTGGGTTTTCTAGCTGTTTACTGTTTCCAGCATAAGGATCTGTTGGGAAGTGACCTTCTCATAGTAATGTAGAAGGATAAGTAAATTATGGTCAGAAAAGGAGGAAGTGAGGAGCGGAAGCCAGGGGAAGAGAGAGGGGAAGCAATGGAGGAAAAGCAGCAGAGGGTCACAAAGGGAGAGGGAAGCAGCCTCCTCTTACCAAGCATAGAATGATGTTCACTTCCCCGAATTTTGCAGAATCACAGTGCCATGCACAAGACTTCAACAATGTTTTCTCTTCAGCAATGCACTGGGTTGCATTTGGTTGAATTATTGAATTTTCAAGAGTAATTAATATGGTTCCTGGGCTACAGATGCC